CAAGTTTGGGTGATCGTCATCCAGAGACAGCCGCAACTCTTCTCCTCACAGGAATAATAGCACAACGCCTTTGGGAACGTAATGTAGCTAAAGTAAGGTTAACAAAAGCGTTAGAACTCTCTCAACAGGTCCTTGGTAAACATTTTATGACTGCTGAAACTCTGAAAGCCATTGCAGACCTATTGCTCTCTCCCAATAAACCCGAAAACTTGAAAACTTGCCTTGAGTATTACGAAGCTGCTGTGGAAATGTTGAATTACCTGGGAGTGGGTGAAAGCAAGGAAAGTATCTTACCATTAAAGAACTTTGCAAGTTGTCATGTGGACAGCGGCAACTTTAATGAGGCAATGGCTTTATTGACGAAGGCAGAACAGATTGCGGAGCGAGGACTGGAACGCAATCACACTTGGAAAGTCTCGATAAAGACTTCACTGGCCTTATTGCATGAGAGAATGGGTAACGTGGAGTGGGCAAAAAATGCGATGCTTAAAGGACTATCGATGCACAAAGAGCTAGGACTCGCCTTAGACAAGATAAGAAACAGCCACATGGTTCGGGAATTTATGAATCGATATCCGGAGACTTTCCCCGAGGCTGAGTTTCCATGTAAGTATAAGACTGAATATTTTATTACTTATTACATCTTCATTAAGCTCAATTTGTGTCCTCTGTCTGACTGCACTCGCAGAGGTTAATGTATGTGGGGGAAGTTTTTGGGCTCACGCTCCATGAAAAGTGCACAGATCCTTTAAAGTCTACGTGTTTTTAGAGACATATTTTGTAGTTTATAACTAATAATTTTTTTAGGTTATCGTCGATGCAATGATTCATTTTGAACTGAGATATCAGTGTTTTCGGTGCCATGTTATCCTAATGCAGTGTGGCTGCCTCTGAACACTTCATCATGAATGTGGTTGAGTAATGAACATAATCACTGTGTTATTAACGTTCTTATGGGGCATGTTTATTTTACCCTTGTAAGATTATCTGCTTATTAATTTTCCATGCCCATAGGAAACGTAAATCTCTCAATACCTTAAGTCATAAACAGACGAAACCTGATATCTGCCGTGTTGTTTGTAAATTTCAGAAATTTTTCCTGTCAAAGTGGCTGAAAAGATGGACATTCATGCTAAAGGTCCAGGGTTGGATCTCCATAAGAAGAAGGGGGGCAATAAATGTTAGAGGTGACAAGGAAAAACTTTTTGAACAAAGTGGTATTTGATTTGTGCAAAAGGACTGAAACGAAGGAAGAAGAAAGAAGGAGAAATAAGTATCATTATTAACAACTCACGAGTACGAAGCTGTAGGCTACACTTTCTATAGAATAATTTGTTTATTATATATCATACAAGCCGAAAAAAAAAACACTCGTTAGATGACCCGCAAAAAATAGCAAATGCTTAAAATTGTAGCTCTCTTTTTTCGATTAATAGCTGCACAATTTTGTAGAGAAAAATTGACGAGGGGACTCCTGCTGATGAATCCCTAAGAGTGACTAGCACCTAAATTCTCCCAACAATATCAGCCCTGAATCACACATTAAGGTAATGAGAGTTGAGGAAATGATCAACAACTGGAGAATCTCTTGATTGTTAAACAAATTCTCCTTGTCCACATTTAAGGAAATGTATAGAGAAGAGTATGGAGAATATGCATACCGATGTTAGGGTGTAAAAGGGTCAATCAAATAATGCACTATTAATATACAAAAACATGACCAGTTAAAATTGTTATGCAGTCTTTAGCGAAAGATGGCAAAACGAACTACACTGAGATGCAAGCTCAGGTTTTTAACATAGTCGTACCTGCTGAAATCGAGAACACTTTTGCGAGAACACTAATGCAGCTTAAAAAACTAGCCTTCTCAATCAGACAAATCATATCATTGTTACAGAAGCTGCCTAGATTATTGAGGAGTTGAACCTGACTACATATGCCTCGATTCATTGCGACATTTTGAGATAGAGAATTTTGAGAGCATATCTATTGATTTCTTGGATAACTCTTGAATAAAGACGTGCAGTTCACTCAATATTGTGCCTTGATGTGACATTAAGTCACATATAACCACTTTTAGGCAAAATTCTGGATAATTTGATTAAAGTTTCTCAATCTTAAACATTTCTCAGAGATTTCTCTTTAGAAAGCTTCTGCGATTTAAATTAACAAGCTACTCCCATCCAAACTGTAACTTGACTTTGATTGAAATGATACCATGTAAAAGGTCACAATCATGGTGATGCCAAAACATATCATTTGATTCGCTCCAATGGTTGAAGGCGCTACTTATTTTGAAGATTAGCCCACCAGGGATCAACGTTGTCAGGTTTTATTTGTACTAGAGTGAGCACGGCTCGTTACATCCGTGGTTACGCCATAGTCAACTGAAAATTAAATAGTTTCGAGATAATTATTATTTACAATATTCTTAGTCGAAGCGACAAACGGTTTCGTAACTTGCAATTTGTGTTTCTGAGTAGTTGGATCCCTTGATTCGCTATCTCGATGCTTTATCTTGATGCTTACGTTTACGACCGTTGATGACCAGCTTCGAATGTCGTTACAGCATAAATTATTCCTTTTAAATTATAAGTCACATGACCTAATTTTCCCGCCGCGCGTAGTCGAGGCGAATTCGCAATTACGATAATTAATTCTAATTCTTTACTACGCGCTCCACTGAACATGCAAATCATCATTCATTGACACATTGAACTCAAACTCAAACTTTCCAAAAATCAGTGACCATTGCAGCTCTCTTCGCCACAAACTATTAAAAATTGAGGTGATATTGCAGGAAAAGAGAACAGAGAGAAGCCAGCTGCAATATATATATTTTGATTCTTTTGATATTGTCACATTCATATTATATCAACTTTGTTTTATTGTTTTGTTTTTTTTTTTGTTTTTTTGAGGTTCTTTGAAAAACCGCACGAATATATATTGTATTCCACAAATCTGTCAATCCCTTGAATATCTTTATAACACCATAAGTTCTACCCTTAATAGATTTGTTCTTTTCAAGTGCAGTGGAAATGTTTAAATTAACAGAAGTGATAAAAATTTCATCCATACATTGGAGAGTAAGTCCATGAGGGTTGCAACAGGTCCAATGGCAAATTCGACATTTTTTAAGCGATAATTGATGTTAAATGAACTGTGACATTAGGCTCCCTGAAAAAAACATCATATAGAACATCCAGCCTTGCATGACACTTCAAACATGCTATGACAGGCAAGTGCAAATTGACCTATTATACAAACATCTTTCACAGAAACTAGACCATTGCATCTTTCTTAGAATTTTTTGGCTTCTTGAAGGTGGCTAATAGCAGAACAGGCTGTTTAGTGGATGGCAATTCCGTTCGCTTGCCTTCATAAACGAACATATTGGGAAACTTAAGGCGACTTAAGACGACTTATATGTAAGCAAGATTAACAGAAAAAAACATTGCGACTTAAGGCGATTTAAGGTGACTTAAGGCGATTTAAGGCAACTTGAGGCAACTTAGAGCGCCGGATTTTATTCCACTCTAGTGATTAAACTTGGCAATAAAAGTTGGGAACAGTCTTTCTATAAACTTTTAAAAGATCTACAGAATCCGTTGAACACAGTAATCATTTTGGTTACTTTTGTGTCCACACTAGTCACCATAGTCTAGAATATCCAGATTTCAAAACCATTCTAGCTAAGAATGCTTAGACAGCATTACCGCGACACGGTTATTGTCAAAGTAGGTAAATAAATAACCAGGAAAAATCATGGGCTATATACCTTGAGTAATAATATCAAATGAAAACCAATATCAAACAAACCTAGAACAAATATGTACATAGTGCCATGATTTAGATAAAACCACCAATAAATTTTCCACATAACCATTAAAATCACATAAGATTATTAACAAGCATTAATTATTTCACAAAACTTCACAAATCATAAAAATGCTTAACTCGTCTCCCATTTTTTTGGCACTTGTACAATGTTCTGTCAATTTTGGCATAGAAATAGCTTGGTCCATTTCTGGGATCCACCCAATTTGATATTCACCTTTCTCAGAAAGACAAAACACCCCAATACCATATTTAGAACCTCATACTAGGGTCCTCGGTAAGAAGACTTCTTCAGTCCCTCTAACCACTTTTCCTGGCTGCAGAAAAATTTTGACATCCCAATAATGAAGAATCGAATCTTTTTAGATCATTTTACTACCGCTTATCGGATCACCAGGACCTCCCGAACATTCACTTGTTTCAACTCCGCAGCGTTTAACCCAAAAAAAATTAAACAAGTTTTATGTTTGGGCTGGTGGGAGTATTACAGGATTCAAAGTATTCATCGTTGCATTCCAACGGTCCAGAAATTAACAAGTCAGAAAAAAAATATATAAACTGATAACAGGTTCACCAATTAGGGCCGCTAACTAGTTTCCATGTGTATCGTCTTTGACAACTCGGAGAAACTCAATAAGGCCAAAAAAAATGATGAAAATAATCATACACTCACACTCGAACTGATTTTTAACCAAACATTACTCGAATACACAAAACTCATCATTTACATACACACGAAATATCCTTATAAATCAATTAGCTCACACGAAACATCGTCATTAGATGTTGGCCTGGCAGCCATGTTTGCTTTGAAAAGTTTATCGTCATCCACAAT